TTTTAATATTAAATAATTTCGATGTGATATTTTTTTCGATGACAATTTCCCCCTTCGAAGTCACCGGAACGTTAGAAAAAATATACTCTAGTTTAAACAATTACATAAATATGAGAAAAATGCTAAAATTAGAACGTTATAATCTTAATTTCTATTTATTACAAATAATATTCTCGTTTCACACGTTCACGATTTTCGGAAAGCCATGTAAACAACATTCAGTAAAAAAACTATCATAGAGAACAACGGAGCCAGTCTAACGGTGGATTTCGAAGAGAAAGGTACTTCAAAAGGTAAATCCTTGTTTTTAGATTACAATATAAATACACAATTAACAATCATTCAAGGTATATTTAATACAGTACTGTACTTTGCTAATATTTTTGATTGTTTTAACTTTCCTGGCTAATGATGACTTTGAGTTGAAATTTTTCATCTAATAAAATATTTGATCGAGATATTGTTTATTCGAAGTATATGTAAATTTGAAATAAATGTACTTTATATTGTTCTTACTTTAATGGGTCATCCTAAACATATTAGTTTTCAAAGGAAAATCTATTAAGAATAGCAGTGTACGATTTGATGGGACACACCCACGGATCAATGAATTATTTTCCACATGATAATACGAGTTTCAATTTATCGCGCGTCGAGGCTACGCATATTATTTTTGTCTATATTATTTTCTAATAATGAAGAATCAACTGAAAGTAAGAACGATATCGAAACAGAACATATATCTTGATATCGTCGAGTTTCAAAGAAAGTCGTAGACTTCCTTATCTGTTGATAGATAAATGATACGCTTGAGAGTTTTTCGTTCGTCGAATTCCTCGAGGATAACGAGAGTTATTAAGGAATCTCGATAATTTCCTACGATATTTTTAGGACTAACAATAATAGAACATATCGATTCAATTTCTAAATGAAATATCGATGAGATGGTGCAATCGTATCGAAGATATTAGGTTGTCCCATAAGTTCTTTCCCTTTTTTTTATGCGATTTCAACAGACGATATTTATTATTTAAGGTTGTTTTAGTTGAACCCTCACCGGTCAGACGAAAATCTGTGTTAAACGGTTGTTAAACTAATTTTTAACGTGACATTAATTGACTGTTTAATTACCTACTATTCGTTGGCTCCTGAATTTTGCTTGGAAAGGAATAAATGGTCAGCGAATGAAAGCTAAAAGAAATTGGACATCGCTTAGATAGGCCGCGGAAATGCCTCAAGGATATACTTTGATACAAATTTGTAGCTTAAAAGGGAACCTTCCGTTGAAGTAAATGACAGAGAGCAACCATGTCAGGTCAGCGTTGATTAACTCAAATGCGGATATGACGTAGCTTTGCGTACACCGTTGACCACCGATACGTAGGATACTACGAGCGCGAATGGTTTCCAAACGGTAGCCCTTTTCTCGTTCCTCCATCTATAATATTCTAGATCCGTATCATTTTATAGATCATTATATCACTACTACGTTTATTTCCTTTTCTATCATGCTCCTTCGTGCGCCTGTACGAACGAGAAGAGACTTAATAGAGCACACATGAGACTAACCGAGACACATTGCTCAATTTTTCTTTCTTTCACGCATGCGATTATTTCTTTTATCCGATAATTTCATTCACGTATTTTTTGACGACTCATGGCACGTGAAAAGATCGCTCCTTGATCGAATGATTTTAGAGGAATAGAAAAAATAATCATTATAAATCGATCTATTTTTTACTAGATATTTTTCTGTGCCGAAAGAAAAAAAAATGGCTTCGGTCTTTCGATTCAAGGGCACGTCCATCGAGTATATTTATAAACGGTGATTAATTTAGTCTTCTGTGGAAAGAGTATGAAGAAGATATCGAATATATTTAATCTCGATGTGATTATATATATATATATATATATATAATATTCAACTTCTGTAATATTTATGGTGACATTTATTTTTCTATTATCAAGAAACTAGAGAGATTCGTGAATGGAAAGACCATGAGAATAAAGCGAAGAGCACGAAAAGGCGCATTTGATAGCTCTCGTAAAGGATCGAAGAACGTAATGGATGTTGACGCAAATTGAAAAAGTGCATCATCGACTTTTTGGGTCATTCGATTTATCTTTCGTTTATTCAATGATTTGTCTTCTTTTTGTTTTTCGAAGGATGACGACGACGAAAGAGAAAAGAAGATACCAAGAAGATATGAAGCAAGCTTGCAAAATCGCCATGCAAATAAAGTATATATCCCCATAAACATTATGCCTAAAGTAATTATCGTTTTCGATTTAACTTGCTCTTTAGTAGTAATTGACGATAGTATTGTATTTACTTTGAAATAGAATAAGCTTCGCACACATTAGATCGTACCATTTACAAAATCTAATGCGAAAAAGATAAAGTTAGGATTAATGTCGTTTAAAGCTTAGCGAAACGGGTTCCATAATGGTGACCCTAATGAAGGTTTTTAAACTCGTAGTGCTGCATGGCGAAGGCAGGCGCAGCGTTGAGATAGCACAAATAAGCTTTTGTTTATCGCGCGGTGTCTTCGATCGCTCGCATCGCCTGCTTTTTAATAAACCACAACACACAAAAGAGATCATTCATTATGCGTTCGTCTAATGGAAAATGCAAGACAACGCCATCGTCGTTATTGAAAAGGAGAGAGTGGTAGGGGAGAGGGAGAAACGGAGACGAAGACGGATAGTTTATAAGGGATGCTTTCTCAAGGTAGTTTTCCAAGTGCAGGCCAGTTGGTTCCGCCTTTCCGCAGGTGTAGAACGTGTTCGTTCGTGGATACTGGCGCCACAGCGACTCCGGTTAGAGAAAATCAATAGTATAACGCAGTGTGTGTTGTGCGGTGTATGTTCGACTTAGTTTAGAGCTCGACGACGTCGTCCTCGTCGTTACGCTCTGTTATACAAGCCTATGAGTTAACTCTTCTCTTTTTTTTCCTTTGAAGGAAACCGCAACTCGGTAAACTCGTGTTACACACGCGAAGACCCGTTTTAAAATGGGCATTGATACGCAGGGAGATGAGATTATGCAACGAATTATGCGATAACAGAAAAGAGCCTTTTTTTAAACCCCCTAAAGAGAATAATCAAGCACCGGTTGTTTGATATTCGTGTCTGTGGACCTTGACGATTCGTTTCACAATTTACATCATTAACATTGCTGCAGTACGTTTGAATGCTTCGATCCCGAGCGTTTTAAAAAGTCAAAGGAGATCGACCTCGTTTTCAACGCGTGTCATCGCGCAATGAACAACGATGCTGCTGAGCATGCGCCAAACAATCGACATTGTTGCGACTCGTTCTTCGATATTAGGGGAAAAATAATGTTTTGTCGTTGATTTCATTCGAAATCATTCGATCGGCCGAGTAAACTTCAACTTTCCCCAGTTACCGTGTCATTCACATTGTGATTCATTTCATTCCGCCCACATTACGCGTTGTAAAGACATTAATCTGTATGTTCCCTTCTTTGCCCCCCCCCCTCCTCCTCCTCCCTCTCCTCTCTTTCTCTGTCTACCCGTAGTACCGTTTGCCATTAAGTATGACAGTACTTGCGTAATTGCTCTTAATTCCGAGTAAGTGACTATCAGACTCTTAAAAATGACATTCTTTCCAATTTTGTTCTTTACATTCGCGTAAGTTGTTTCACGAACATTTTCTCCAATCGAACGTTCTTCGCGTCGAAGATGGATGTATACATTGATCGCTACCAAATGCGAATCATTTGTGAGTCTTATGTCGAACTAATATAAACGTACTCTCGACGCTATAAATGCGCGATTAACATCGGCTGGCCTCGTTCGGTATTATGTATACACGGACGGTATATTTTCATTGATATCTTATATTTGATTTCGTTCGATTACAGAGCGCTGTTATATTTGTAAAAGAAGTTATACATCCGAGGCGTCACACGATTAGCTCGATGATGAATTACTTCTTTCGAAAGATAATTTTAGCCGGCGAGATTCAATTCCGATGAATTTTTTGTTCTCTCGCTTGCTTGTAACTAATAAAAAGACGATATAATGAGGATATATGTGAGGATGAGTAAGGAAATATTTATGTCGCTAAATCTTATTTAATTTCAACGTAGCGCAGTTTTACTATACAGTTCACCGAGAAAACAAGCGACGCCCATATTGGTTTACTGCGGTTTTCCTTGTGTATTTCATGATCTACCTGTACGAATGCACTAGGCGTGCATCCAGTTAACAGGTTAGACCGGCTGCTTACTCGTCTCATTTGTTTCTATACATTTTTAATTAGAAAGAAAAATATAAGATTCTACGCCATTGGTTCTGATTTTTCCTGAATGTAATTTACTGTTGGAAGCCTCGACGCGCTCCCGCTATTTGCTGTGTGTATTTCGCACGTGTGACATCATGCGTGTGATGTAATCGTACGGTTGTGCACCGAGAGGGGCTCCTACATGCTTTGAGTGCGTAACGTAATGCGTTATTAAATGAATGTACATCAAATAATTTATGTAGGTATAGTATACGTATTCATACACACATACATAAATGATATAGGCGTGTGTTCGTGTATCGAATGTACTCACTGACCGTACGAGAGGGCCGGCCACTCTTTGTATTCGATAACTGGCTAGAAAACCGCCGTCCTCCAGTATTTACGCTCGATATTTTGACGACAAGATATTTTAGTTACATTGACACACCACGGGATACATTACGTTGGTCACTTCATACGGGGTTCTATTATATTTTATAACGATTATTTAAGTGTACTGTAATGCTCGTTGATAATTGTCGATGACTCATCGTTGAATTCTCCCGCGTGAACGAATGCTTGCTTCTTATCACTGAAATATATTTTACTCGAAAACGCTAATTGTTTCTTTTTGCAAGAAAAGACCTTGGTTTTGGTCGGTGCACACTGCATCCTTGTTACCATGATTTCTATTCGAGGTCATAACGAGCAACGTTGAACTGGTTAGAGCTGTTATTAAATTACACAACGTGTTATACTTACAGAGTACGTAAGGAGCAAAGATAAGATTACCTTGCAACTCTTATCTTTGTACGTACGTAATAAGAATGAATAACATAACTTTAAAAGATTGAAATAATGAATGATTTTTGTTTAGAACCGCCCTCTCTAGGTGTAAGAAGATTGTGAGCTGTTGGTCCGATTGACAAAATGACGACCGACATCTCGGTAGTACGCGGGGGTTGGGACCCTACGCTGCAACAAGAGATTGTCGATGAGTACGAATACGACGGAGGAAATTCGAGCTCGAGACTTTTCGAACGCTCGCGCATCAAAGCTTTAGCTGGTACGTTCTACTTTATATTATTTCATTACAATTACTTGTTAAGAATCTCAATGAATTGTCACGTGTTTTAAACGTAAGCACGCGAAAGATATTGGATGCTTCGTACACCACATCCGCATCCTTCTTTGATAATGGGAACTGCATTAAGTTTTCCATGCTTCCGCGATATACATAAATGTACAACATATCGATCGAGTTCAGTAGCGCGTTAACATTCTCTCCTATCGAGTGTTTCTATTATTATTTGTATTATTTCAAAATGAATTACGATAATGTCGTTTTCAATCTCCGAGGTAAAGTAACATTTGACGAATCGCCTCATTTTTCTATAATATACTTTTTTATTTATCGTTATACTTGTTTTCGTAGGTGAACGAGAATTAGTACAAAAGAAAACTTTTCAAAAATGGGTGAACTCTCACCTTGTGCGATGTTCCTGCCGCATCGGCGACTTGTACGTCGATCTTCGAGATGGTAAAATGCTGATAAAACTGTTGGAAATCTTGTCGGGGGAACGCTTGCCGCGACCAACCAAAGGAAAAATGCGGATTCATTGTTTGGAGAACGTCGACAAGGCATTGCAATTTTTACGAGAGCAAAGAGTTCATCTTGAAAATATGGGCTCGCACGACATAGTCGATGGTAATCCGCGGCTTAGTTTGGGCCTGATTTGGACTATTATTTTACGATTTCAAATTCAAGACATTACGATCGAAGAAACGGACAATCAGGAAACGAAATCCGCAAAGGATGCTTTGCTTCTTTGGTGTCAGATGAAAACGGCTGGTTATCACAACGTCAATGTTAGAAATTTCACTACTTCTTGGCGCGATGGTCTAGCCTTTAACGCTATTATTCATAAACACCGTCCAGACTTAATACAATTCGATAAGTTGTCCAAATCCAATGCTATTTATAATCTTAACAATGCATTTAACGTTGCCGAAGACAAACTCGGTCTTACAAAATTACTGGATGCCGAGGACATCTTCGTCGACCATCCGGACGAGAAATCGATTATCACTTACGTCGTAACATACTATCATTACTTCTCTAAGATGAAGCAGGAGACCGTTCAAGGTAAGAGGATCGGCAAGGTCGTTGGTATCGCTATGGAGAACGATCGTATGATACACGAATACGAAAGTTTGACCAGTGATTTGTTGCGATGGATTGAAGCGACCATAGAAGCCCTCGGCGATCGTAGATTCGCCAATTCCTTGGTGGGGGTTCAATCGCAACTTTCCCAATTCTCGAATTATCGTACAGTCGAGAAGCCACCTAAATTCGTTGAAAAGGGTAATCTTGAAGTATTATTATTCACGTTGCAATCAAAGATGCGGGCCAATAATCAAAAACCATACACGCCGAAAGAGGGTAAAATGATATCGGATATAAATAAAGCTTGGGAGAGATTAGAAAAGGCCGAGCACGAACGGGAATTAGCTTTACGCGAGGAATTGATTCGTCAAGAGAAATTGGAACAATTGGCGGCGAGATTTAACCGTAAAGCCAGTATGAGAGAGACTTGGCTATCGGAAAATCAACGATTGGTCTCTCAAGATAATTTCGGTTTCGATCTTGCTGCTGTCGAAGCGGCTGCTAAGAAGCACGAGGCTATTGAAACGGACATCTTTGCTTACGAGGAACGTGTACAAGCTGTTATGGCGGTATCACTAGAACTGGAGGCAGAGAAATATCATGACATCGAACGAATCAATGCGCGAAAAGACAACGTCTTGCGTCTTTGGAATTATCTCTTGGAGTTGCTACGAGCCAGACGATCGAGATTAGAACTATCATTGCAACTTCAACAAAACTTCCAAGAGATGTTGTATATTCTCGACAGCATGGAAGAAATAAAATTGCGTTTATTGACCGACGATTATGGAAAGCATCTGATGGGCGTCGAAGATCTTTTACAAAAGCATTCGCTCGTCGAAGCCGATATCAATGTCTTGGGAGAAAGAGTAAAGGCTGTCGTACAACAGACGCAAAGATTTTTGGAACACGGAGATGGATATCGACCTTGTGACCCAGCGATCATAGTCGAGCGAGTCCAACAACTGGAAGATGCCTACGCCGAATTGGTACGCTTGGCTGTAGAACGACGCGCGAGATTAGAAGAATCTCGCAAACTTTGGCAGTTCTATTGGGACATGGCCGATGAAGAGAATTGGATTAAAGAGAAGGAACAGATTGTATCTACTGGGGATATCGGCCATGATTTAACTACCATTAATTTGTTACTATCCAAACACAAAGCTTTGGAAAATGAAATTCAATCGCACGAACCGCAACTTATGTCTGTAGCTGCTGTTGGCGATGAATTGGTGCGACAGCAACACTTTGGCGCCGATCGTATCCGCGATAGACTTCAAGAAATCTTGGGAATGTGGAATCACCTTTTGGATCTTGTTGCATTCAGAAGGAAACGTCTAGAGGAGGCCGTCGATTATCATCAATTAATCGCAGACGCGGACGATATCGATATTTGGATGTTGGATACGCTTAGACTCGTATCGTCGGAAGATGTTGGTAGAGACGAGGCTAATGTGCAGTCGTTGTTGAAGAAACACAAGGATGTAACCGATGAACTCAAAAACTATGCTACTACTATTGATCAACTTCATCAGCAAGCATCTGGCCTTGGAGAACGGGATGCTAAATCGCCAGAAGTTGTAGAAAGACTTGCTTCGATCGACTCCAGATACAAGGAATTATTGGAATTAGCTAAATTACGTAAGCAAAGGTTATTGGATGCGTTGTCTTTATACAAATTGTTCAGCGAATCCGATGGTGTTGAGCAATGGATCGGAGAGAAGAATAGGATGTTGGATACGATGGTTCCAGCCAAGGATATCGAAGACGTTGAGATCATGAAACATAGGTATAACGGTTTTGAAAAGGAAATGAACGCGAATGCGTCGCGAGTAGCAGTAGTCAATCAATTGGCGAGACAGCTACTACACGTTGAACATCCAAATTCGGAACAGATAGTAGCTCGTCAAAATGAATTGAATCAAAAATGGGCAGAATTGCGAGATAAGGCAGAAGGTAAACGCGAAGAACTTAACTCTGCTCACGGAGTACAAACCTTCCACATTGAATGCCGCGAAACTGTGTCCTGGATCGAAGATAAGAAACGAATTCTACAACAAACTGATAGTTTGGAAATGGATTTAACGGGCGTTATGACGTTGCAACGTAGATTAAGTGGTATGGAACGCGACTTAGCTGCCATACAAGCCAAGCTCGATGCATTGGAGAAGGAAGCACAGGTGATCGAACAGGAACATCCGGAAGAAGCGGCTGTTATCCGAGAAAGAATAACACAAATTCATTTGATATGGGAGCAGTTAACGCAAATGCTCAAGGAACGCGATGCCAAACTCGAGGAAGCTGGTGACTTGCACAGGTTCTTACGCGATCTAGATCACTTCCAGGCTTGGTTGACTAAGACACAAACCTCCGTTGCCAGCGAAGATACACCGACAAGTCTGGCCGACGCCGAGAAATTACTTACTCAACATCAAAATATTAAGGAAGAGATTGACAATTATACCGACGATTATCAAAAAATGATGGAATATGGTGAAAGATTAACGAGCGAAGCTGGCGACGGTGACACGCAATACATGTTTTTGCGAGAAAGATTGAACGCCCTAAAAATGGGTTGGGAAGAATTACACCAGATGTGGGCCAACAGGCAAAACTTATTGTCAAATTCGCTCAACCTCCAAGTATTCGATCGCGATGCCCGACAGGCAGAGGTACTTTTGTCGCAACAGGAACACACTCTTGCAAAGGACGAGACGCCGGCGAACTTCGAGCAAGCCGAGCATATGATTAAACGTCACGAAGCGTTTATGAACACAATGGATGCGAACGACGAGAAGATTAATTCCGTAGTGCAATACGCTGGAAGGCTCGTCGACGAAGGACACTTCGCTTCCGACAAAGTAAAGAAGAAAGCTGAAAACATAAACGAGCGTAGGCGAGTCAATCGCGAAAAAGCGAATCAATTGATGGAAAAATTAAAGGACCAACTTCAATTACAAATGTTTTTACAAGACTGCGAGGAATTGGGTGAATGGGTGCAAGAGAAACATATCACTGCTCAAGACGAAACATACCGTAGCGCGAAAACGGTGCACAGCAAATGGACGCGTCATCAAGCGTTCGAGGCCGAAATTGCGAGCAACAAAGATCGTTTGCAACAATTGCAGAAAGCCGCGGACGAATTGGTTCAGCAGAAGCCCGAATTTGTGGAGCTCATCAAACCGAAAGTAGCCGAGTTAGGTGATCAATTCACCGATCTTGAAACTACCACCCACGACAAGGGTGAACGTCTCTTCGATGCCAATCGCGAAGTGCTGATACATCAAACGTGCGACGACATTGATTCGTGGATGAACGAGTTGGAAAAACAAATAGAAAGTACCGATACCGGCTCGGATTTGGCATCTGTGAATATTCTGATGCAAAAGCAACAGATGATCGAGACCCAAATGGCGGTGAAAGCACGACAGGTTACAGAATTGGACAAACAAGCAGAGCATCTGCAACGTACCGTACCGGACGATAAGATGGAAGAAATCAAGTGTAAGAAAGAAAAGGTTGCGCAAAGGTTTGCACAATTGAAGGCACCTTTGATAGATCGGCAACGACATCTCGAGAAAAAGAAGGAAGCCTTCCAATTTAGGCGAGACGTCGAAGATGAGAAATTATGGATAGCGGAAAAGATGCCGCAAGCTACGAGCAACGAATACGGCAACTCCCTCTTCAACGTACACATGCTTAAGAAGAAGAATCAATCGTTGCGCACGGAGATCGATAATCACGAGCCTCGAATTAATTTGGTATGCAATAATGGACAAAAATTAATCGACGAAGGTCACGAGGACAGTCCTGAATTTAATAGACTCATCTCGGAATTAACGGAGAAGTGGAAGGAATTAAAAGACGCGGTAGAGGACAGAAACAAGCATTTACTTCAGAATGAAAAGGCACAACAGTACTTCTTCGATGCCACCGAAGCAGAATCTTGGATGAGCGAACAAGAATTGTACATGATGGTCGAAGATCGCGGCAAGGACGAAATCTCGGCTCAAAATCTTATGAAGAAACACGAATCTTTGGAACACGCTGTCGAAGATTATGCCGATACGATTCGTCAACTCGGCGAAACTGCTAGACAATTGATAAACGATCAACATCCGTTAGCTGATCAGATCGCGGTGAAGCAATCGCAGGTCGATAAATTGTACGCCGGCTTGAAAGACCTTGCCGGTGAACGTCGTGCTAAATTGGACGAGGCTCTTCAACTGTTCATGTTAAATCGAGAAGTCGACGACTTGGAACAGTGGATCGCGGAAAGAGAATTGGTAGCCGCTAGTCACGAGTTAGGCCAAGATTACGATCACGTTACTCTTTTGTGGGAAAGATTTAAGGAGTTTGCACGTGATACGGAAGCAATTGGCTCGGAAAGAGTTGCTGCGGTTAATGGTATTGCCGATTCGTTGATAGCAAACGGACATTCGGATGCTGCTACGATAGCCGAATGGAAAGACGGCTTGAACGAAGGTTGGCAAGATCTGCTCGAATTAATCGAAACTCGTACGCAAATGTTAGCAGCTAGTCGAGAATTACACAAATTCTTCCACGATTGCAAAGACGTTCTTGGTAGAATTCTTGAAAAACAAAATGCCATGTCCGATGAGTTGGGTCGCGATGCTGGATCCGTGTCTGCGCTTCAACGTAAACATGCTAACTTTATGCAAGATCTGTCAACTTTGCAAAGTCAAGTATCACAGATACAAGAAGAATCAGCGAAATTAGAGACGAGTTATGCCGGAGACAAGGCAAGAGAAATTACAAATCGAGAAGCCGAGGTGGTCGCTGCATGGAACAACCTTCAATCCTTGTGCGAAGGTAGACGAGCGAAATTAGAAGACACTGGAGATCTGTTTAGATTCTTCAACATGGTTAGGACTTTAATGATTTGGATGGACGATGTTGTAAGACAAATGAACACATCTGAGAAGCCACGAGACGTTGGTGGTGTTGAACTCCTAATGAATAATCATCAAAGCTTAAAAGCAGAAATCGATGCCAGGGAGGACAATCTCATGGCATGCATCAATCTTGGTAAAGACTTATTAGCTAGGAATCATTATGGAAGTGCCCAAATAAAAGAAAAATTAGCAGCACTAACGGACCATAGAAATGCCCTTTTACATCGATGGGAAGAACGTTGGGAGAACCTGCAGCTGAGTAAGTTTTTTTCCTAATTATTCGATTCGTCTTGTATCGAATGTAAGTGTTTTTATATTCTTTTGGGGGTTTTTTTCAGTTTTGGAAGTCTATCAATTTGCTCGAGATGCTGCTGTCGCTGAGGCATGGTTAATCGCTCAAGAACCATATCTTATGAGCCAAGAACTTGGCGTAAGCAATACTTCATCATTTTGATCGTTATCATCATTATTAGAATTTATTATTATTATTATTATCGTTATTGCAGCATACTATCGACGAAGTCGAAAACTTAATTAAAAAGCATGAAGCATTTGAAAAATCAGCGGCTGCACAAGAGGAAAGGTTTAGTGCCTTGCATCGACTTACTACTGTATGTAATACAATTTTATGTCTACACATATATTTTGATTGATTCTTATGGGTACAAATATAATTATATTTTTGGTGCAGTTTGAATTAAAAGAGTTAAAGAGACGAGAGCAAGAGAAAGAGGAAGAAGAAAGAAGAAAGAAAGAAGAGGCTGCAGCAGCTGAAGCGGCAAGATTAGCGAAAGCAACTCCTGTTACTAGCCCTGACGAACCACCTAGCGAAAGGTAAATTATATTTTTAATTATAGCAATTAACCTTTTATACTCGAGACAAATAAAACTTAAATAACCATCGTTATCGTTCAAATTATCGTGTTAAACCGAACGGTTTGAATGCAAATAATGAATTAGTTTTAACAACATCTAGAGTTAAATCTATCTTTCTTATTTTCCATTTTGTATTTTTGCAATAGAACCGAAGCCGAAGGGGTGCAGAGTGGCGAACGCGCAGCAGGAGAAGATGACTCGCATGGTAAGATTATTATGTTTTCGATTATTCAATATTTTTTTGCAAAAGATAATTATAAAGAAAGTAGTCGTTATTTACATTTATTATCACTTATTTGGCATAGAGTCATAATCAAGGTTTTTAAATTTCATAAGATGGCTGGTTCATCTTTCGAATCAACTAAAGTTACAAACTTAAAATCGTGAAATTACGATAAAATATTCTATTTATAACACTTAACGTGAAATTTAAAATTGAGAGAATGATTGGATTTTGTTTGACTACTAATACAATATAGTTAGTTAACATCGCTTCTTGCGATTATGAACTTAACTGTTTGGCAACTGGATTTATAAATATGGTTTGTTTGGATAAGCATGTAATCGCTAACAGCACGTTTATTTTTGCCTTTTTTTCCTCCTTCAAAATGTGTTCCTTACCAATTTTGGTCCATTCAACCTTATATTGTCCCCGAATGCACCCTTAATGCGGCACGGAATGCACAAACCACAGTGACACACCGCAAGGCTTCCACGCGTACACCACAGCCTCAAGATAAACCTAAGGAAGGTGAGTGTTTTCATCAGATATATTACGAGATAGACATTTTTTTTAGGCTTCGAAAATTGTTTTTTATACAAAATAATTTTATCTTATTACTAATGAAGAAATTGTATGCAATGATATATTTTTATATGTTTCATTTCAAATTAAATAGTTATATGCACATTCATTTTTTCTCTATCAGCTGTGCTCATTGATCATCTCTTTACATTTGGTGTTGGATTCTACCGCTAGTCATCTTCTTATTTACATTTACATTTATCTGTGTTTCCTGTAATAATCTTATATCTTTCAGCATATTTCTGGCGATTGTGGATAAATCTTTTTACCATTATAGCTATCGTTCACTTGCTTTTATTAATTTTTCCAGCAGGTGATGGAATTACTTTGTCTCCGATGTTTCTCTTACCATTTATCCTAAGCTATACGTCATCGATTATAATTTAAACGCGATTAACGAATCACATTATCATTTAAAATATTTTATGTGTTGCACGACCAACAAAACAGCCAACTAAATGGTTCATTATTCATCAGGAAAAACTAATTGTTTTAAAAAAACAAGAATTTATATTCATCATTCATTGAGTATCTACAGATACTTTTAATTTTTTCTTCCGAATTGGTATGTACACGTTACATTTGTCATTTATATTTCATTTAATCGACAAAAAACAGCTTTACTTTTTATTGAGGTAAGATTTGGTATGTTATGTTCGTAAAAAACATTTGCAAAATAATTACTTACCTATATTGAAATATAAAATATTCAATTATTTTAATAATCACACACAAAGTTACGTATTCGTCAATTCGATTTATTTAAAAAATTGCATGACAATGTAAAAATCTGTGCTTTATTCTTCTTGCGTAAAAACTGATATAGAATATTGTAGATTCTTCTCACATACATATATATATAATATATTTAAGAGATAAAGATCGCATGATTTAGTAATTGGTGTGGTGTAGTGCATGCTCAGAAATCTACCCAATTGCCTTTGGCGGGAGAAACAACGTCACCCGATACACAAATTACTACGAAGTCTCGTCCAAGTGGCCTATCCACTCCAACCAGTAAGTATTTTTTATAAATGTCTTCATTACAATTTCTTTTTAAACATAATGAATGAAAATTAGATGTATTGATATATGATACAATAGTATTTATTTATTTGTATTTTACAATTTATGATAATTAATTCAAAGTAGTGTCAAAATAAATTGAATTGTGCATAGATGCACGTTTTTGTTGCACCGGGCCGAAGGGACACGTGTCGCCAAATTGATCTGCAAATTGACACGCTTGAAGTAGTCTTAAAATTTCATCAACGGAACGCGTTATGGCTGTGTCATTTAAATTCACGTGTCTTATTAATTGCTTTGGATCTATTATAAATAAAGCCCTGATTGCTATTCCTCGAATCTCATCTAATATGCCATAATCTTTAGAAATCTTATGATTTTTATCAGCTAATACGGGAATTTTCATTTCACCCAAACCTCCTTGTTTTCTCGGAGTAGTTATCCATGCCAAATGCGAATATTCAGAATCTGTTGATATCGCAACAACTTCTGCATCTTTTATATGTATGTAAAATATAATAATTGAAAGCAGTCAAATAATTTAGTATGATTTACATAAATTAACGAAATTCTTACTAAGGTTTCGAAATTCATCGATGCGTTCGCTGAATTGAATGATTTCTGTTGGACATACGAATGTAAAATCGTATGGATAAAACAATAGTATTATATATTTTCCTTTAAAGTCTTTTAATGATAATTCTGTAATTTTAGAATTAATTACTGCGTAACCTGACCAAAATGGAGCAGGATATGATATTGCTGGTATCATTAGTATTCGTGGAATAATATCCTTGTCTGTTTCTTCAATACAACACGATCCCATATTTTGAATAATTTTTAAACGATTGTATCATAATAATACATATAATTTATACGTTCATGTGATAGTTACTGATCTAAATTTTAACTAAATGTCGAAACAAGATGAAGTAATTTGAAATATAACGATTAGAGTCACTGATATATAGCGAGTGTCAATTAAAATCGTACACCGTTACATTTATTAGATTTTTGCTTGAAAATTACTGTTACACTCGTTGTATTAATTTTACCAAACCAATATAAGTTTCTGCTATTAATTTATATAATATATACTATATAAAGAATTTATTATCTATTTAAATTGTAATTAAATATGGGTATTACCTTGTACTACCGACATACACATACATACAAGTATTGATTATACAATGATAGTATTAGAAAAAATATTGCTTCGTTTTTCTTTTATTTATACAACTATTAGCATTGCTCATTTGTTATAATAGTATATTCGTGCATGAGCATGTTGCATGAACGTGCTTTCGTAAGGTTTACACTTAAATGTTAAAGGACGTGAAAAGTGGTGTTAAATTAATACGGATACCCAGAATTCTAGTATCAACTTGTTTTCCTGATCGAATCTACAAGCTAGATGAGAAAGGAGTAAGTAGTTAATAATATTGTATGTTGCGTATATTATTAAGCTCCCAAAGGTGGAAGTGGTTCCGAATCTGGTACTTTAAGGCGTAAGGAACGCAGTCGCAGCAAATCGCCCTTCAGAAGCTTCCGATGGAAAAAATCGACCAAATCGCCCAGTTTAGATCGCAGCGGCGTGAGTGATGATGAGCACAGCATTCCTGGTAAGTTGTATGAGCAATAGTTGGTCAACAGTTGTTACTATTTATTGACTTTTTGCCAGTCAAACTTGAACCTTAACAATCGTATATGTCGTATATTCCTATTTGATTTATTCTTTGAAAATGAATGGCCTGCAAGTTTACATTCTAATGTAAACTCTAATCTTGAGATATAACACTGATGCCTAGGATCAAAGACCTATATATCTATCAGCAGTATAATAATAAAAGTCTCGTTTATAATACTTTCAGGTACGTCGTTATTCATATAGGTGAAAGGAGGAAAGTATGATGCATAGGTGTCGTCTCTCCCCTTTAGTATAAGTATACTATTAACTATAAATATTATTTTCAGATTTACTCCATTGATCAATATGATCGAGTAACATGTAATTGTTGGGGGAGGGGGAGGGCTTGATTACAGTACAATTATTTAATAAAATTAAATTACATTATAATATATTAAATATATTAATAAGTCATTTTTATACTTTATTCTTTATCATAAGCTGACATAATACTACTTTCTTTCAGAGCAACGTAGTCCCAGCGACGACGAATTCGAAGGAACACTGCAAAGAAAGCATGAGTGGGAAAGTACAACAAAGAAGGCAACTAATCGTTCGTGGGAGAAAGTATACATAGTTATACGCGGACATAACTTGTTTGTATATAAAGATCAAAAGACATATAAGGCTTCACCTGATCAACGGTACAAAGGAGAAGCACCCCTTGACGTGAGAGGCGCGACCATTACTGTAGCCACCGATTACACTAAGAAGAAACATGTCTTCCGAGTAAAGTAAGTTCAATATCTTGAAAATATAAGAAGAATTTTCATTATGAAAAGAAATAATTATAATTAATGACACGTTTGTTGGATTACAGGTCGCAAAGCGGGTCCGACTTCTTGTTCCAGGCCAAAGATGATGCAGAAGTAAATGAATGGATTTCGGCATTAAATCAAGCAGCACAAGGTACATCTGGTGCGGGTACATCTAGAGCACATACTTTGCCTGCTCCAACGCAAGCCGAGACTAAGCGGCGCAGTTTCTTCACTCTCAAGAAAAAGTAAGTTTTTTCATCACTTGTCACCTACTTCGGTAGTATATTTTAATATGATAAACAACATATCAACATATTATCATTGCATGCATTATAAAAATTTTATTATTCATATTGACCACGTTGAAAAATCTACTAATTTTTATCATCTTGTACATTCAACTCATGTCACCGAAATTCTATCATTTTATCATTTCATCCATGGTCAGCCATTTCCCTCTTTTCGTAGTTTTCTTCTACAACATCTTAACATATCGTAGTCACATCTTTGTTCGTAATATATTTCGCGTAACGTAAAGCGTCCACATTTTCGCTATTTATTTGGAAGAAACGGCTGATTAGGATCATTCATATCATCTATTGAGTCTGAGTGTAATGAAAGCTTTCTAGACAGTTGCATGTACAAGCATTGAAAGTGCTCATATTTCATACGCGAAAAWTTTGTTWTTATTTAAAAAAAAAAAAAAAAAAAAAAAAAARWTRASA